ATCAACATTTCATTAACTCGAGAGAGTGCCTAGAAAAAGATGTTTAAATAATAAATATTAATAGATATGTGTAATTCTTCTTCAAAGCAGTGCAATTATATAAGTAAATGTAATTGTATACTCTTTTTAAAATAAATATTAAGTTAATTACCGGAGTTCTAGTTCCATCTGGAGCAGTTATGTAAGTACTTCCATAGCAATGTCCGAAATCCTTATGTGCTGGTTTACCATCTCCAGAAGTGAACTCGTTTGGATAAACTTCAGTGCCAACTCTGTTTATTGCACAGGTAAAGTAACTGTTAGCAGCTGCAGCACATCTTGGTTCAATGGGCCAAATAACTTCACTGAAGTCTCCAGCCTTTCAAGGAAATAAAAAGTTAAATAAATCATTTACGAACAATTTTTCAAAGATTGAGAGGAGTGAGAAAAACGAATGCCCAAAAGAAACTTGGAATGTGCTTAAGATTTAAAAAATAAAACGATTTTTTTTTTAAATTAGCATCACGTACTTCTACTGAAGGATTAAAGACCAATTCAGCACCATTTAGTCCATACATCAACCAATTAAGAACGTGATGACGACCATAACAAATGTTGATGGCGATCTTTCCAAATTCAGTCTGCAAGAGGATGATACTGTAATATTTAAACTTTTCAATTAAAACAGATTCTTATACCTCAAAAACTTCGTGACCGGTATTCCCCTCGAAGTAATACGTTGATTCGTTGAAGTCTTCATTTCTGGGGATGTGGTTTTTACGGTGTTTTCCCAAAACGTCCCCGTGATTGTCAATTACAACGGCAGTGTTCCAAATTACGTCGGAATGGACCTCGTCTCTTTCCAAAATCGGAGATACAATAACCATGTTGTTCTTTCTGGCAAGCTAGCAAAGGAAGAATTGTGCGATACTTTATTGTTGATTAAGGTGCTGTATTACCCAATCAATAAGTTGCAAAAGAAATAAGTCTTACCACTTGAAGGAATTTTGTAGTGGGTCCATTCTCAGCTGGCTCGGCAAATTCGCACCACGGTTGCTTTTCACGAGTACAGAAGAAGTAGGGCATTGCTGAAAGTTAAGTATTGTGTAGTAATTTAGGAAAAAGTAACACTGGAGATGAGTAAAAGGGAAGAGCCAAGGTGCAAATTAAGACCAATACCTTGGTTTGAAAAAATCAAGACTCATCTTTCTTATCAGTTCCTTATTGGAAAATCCTGAATGCTAGGATGCCAAAACTTAAAAACGTGATAGATATTATGTACTTCTTCAAGTAATCATTAAATGAACGAAATACGGAGGGATAATTTTAAAGTTTCAAAAATTAAATTCATTTTTTTTTTCAAATATGGTCCAAGAAAACCACAAATTTTGACTTACTCCATAGTTCCTGGAGGCAGAAGATGTTAACTTTAGCTTTGGCAGCAAGTTCGATGGCTTCTTCTGCTCGCTTCCATATTGCGGCCCGCATTTCAATTACAGGGGCAGTTGTGGGGAGAGGAAGTTTTGTTTGCAGAGCAGCCATCCTCACAACCCTCGCTTTACGGACTTGCTCAGGGGTACTTATGATCCTGTAGCTTCCAATTTCGAATTGCATTTTTTTTGCAAAGTTCATTACAGTTTCGGGAAGTTCCAAAGGTCTAACAAAAAAGGTAGATTGTATTAAAAGAATTAAAAGTAAGAAATCCAAGATGTACTTACTCATAGTTGCTTCCATAAAGCAACTTCTTCATACTAGTTTGGTCCTCAAGGGACAATTTAGACATAATTTCGTCGATGCTTACAACTTCCTTGGTTTCTTTCTTGGTTTCAGCCATTTTGGTAATAATAGGATTGTGATAAGTACTTAGGGATGTATTGATGATGTTCCTTTTTAAGAAATTTTTGAAAGGTTCCGTTGTTTATCGGGGATGAAATGAGGCTAGGTTTGTTTTGGTGTAAGTAACAAAAGCTTTTGTTGCTGTTTCATAAATTGCTTCCCGCTTATATACTAAAATTGTGCAGGAACGACTGAAGGAATTATTGATAGCTGTATCATTTTATGATAACACTAAACAAAATTTGTACATATGAAAAATTATTTGCCTTAACAATTAACAGCCTTAAGTTATATACGAGAAACAGTCAAAAAGTATTGCCTATTTGTTTTGTTAAAACTGCCTTCTTACAAGAAAGTAGATTTATTTCTTGGGAAATAGATTTTTGAAATGTGAAAGGGGGAAAGTCATTCGTTTGTAATTATGCCAATAATTGTAGTATTATGTCATTAATGTCTTCTGTAAACAACCCCTGTATAAAAATTCATATGTAATGCAATATGTACCTTAAGATGTAAATGAGTACACGGAATATATAAATAAAGTTCCTGAAAAATATAAATATGTAAGATCTAAGGTCGTTAAGGTTAATCAGTGTCGTTATTGTTATCATAAAGAGACTTAGACGTACATTACAAAATCTACAAATTAATATTTATTTATATTCGTGTTTATAATACTATAACATACAAGAGATTATTGTTTATATAATTATTACAGCGATGTTTAATGAAATAAAAAAATAATGAAATGAAGCACCTGAAATTCGCAGTAATTTTTTTATTTGTCTGCAAGTGTTCAAATTACAGTTTACAACCAATACACTACTGTTAATCTTTGACAGACCCTGAAATTTGAAAGTTTGTTGGGCGCATAAAAAAGGCAGAACACAATAAGCTGTGGAAACTGTGGAAATTGATTTTTTAACATTTTCTCATTAAAATGTAGTATCAACGACCTACTTTAAGTATAATCATTTGATTTTCTTAACACTTTTTCAAAGTATCGATAACAGTATAATTATAATATTTCTTTCTTTTTGGTTAAAGAATTAATTTTATATTGTTTACCATTAACAAATCCAAACTTTTCTCTCAAATCTGAGTTTTCATTTTACATTACTTTTATTTTTGAAAACATCTAAAAGAACCAAAAGTAAGCCGAGAGTCCTCTACAAGCTTGTATATAGGTATGTAAATTTTACTAAACTCTATTTTCCGTATTCAAAATGCATAGATAAAAAGTGAAATACCATTTAAATTTCAACCCTTTAATTCTATCATGAAAATAAAAATATTTTAAAAAATCAACAGCTTTATCAACTGAACCAATCCTCCAAGTCACTTAGTTAATCAACAATGTGTTTATTTTTTGCTCTGGTGTTAAAAAACATATTATTTTAGACGTTCGCCCTATTATCAGGGATTCTTTCGGAACAAACACATTTTTCACAGATAAAGTTTGAAACAATCATGTAAAGATTCAATCACTCTTAAGAAGTAAACAAGAATTATTGTTTATTCTTAGATGAGACTCTGGTCTCATCAAAACAATTATTAATTGTCTTTCTTTAAATATACTTTATCAAATTTTAGTTGAATTTTTGTTTGGTTATTTAAAACTGTTTCATCAAGAACGTACCACAATCAACCTAAGTGATAAATTTTGGATGTAATTTATAATGGGCATAAGGGAGTTTGGGAGAGTTCCCCCTAGGCCCCCCCACAATACAAGGCCCCTGCATGCCTAAATATAACCTTTTTAACCCAATAACCCCGGAAATTATAACCTTCAACACATCTCATTTACATGGGCCTCGATCTTATATTTTTTGTTTAAGTCTTCATGAGTTTTTTTAACGCCTTTACCCGGTAAAATTTTAATTCATTTGCTTACGTTAGCTTTTTTTTAAGACTTAAGGCCCTTTGACTCCTAGAATTCGCGGACCCTTTCATAGTCCCAGGCCGCCCCTGCAATGTATAGAAAAAGAATATGGAATTTATATAATTGTTTCGATTGATTTTCGATATATTATCTTTTATTATTAATGCATATATATTTTGTCTTAGATAGCTTCAAAATCGAAAATTGTTACATAAATCCATTTGCTAGTATTTATTTATGCATTGATTGTAAAAAGCAATAATAAACATGATACCAATGTTATTGAACCGTCCGAAGCCATCATGTAACTAGACCCACAAAAGCGTCCAAAATCATTATGATGGGTAGTTTTTTTCATTTCCAACCCTGTTTTCGTTTTCATGTTGTCAAGAAAAAGTATATTAAAGACAAATGTTTCATGAACACAGTTTTTTAATAAAAATAATAGTAGCTATTACAATATTTTAATGTTTTAATAATCGTAAATTCAAATGAATGTAAAACTATTCACACCACGCACAACCAGCGCATCCAGGAATAGATTAATTTTATAGTAGACAAAAATACTCCATTTATGACTGAAATATTTTATTAAAGAAGGTACTTGCAATTGCAAGGAGATTAAAAATAATTATAGCTCTAGCTATTACAAACACCAAGCAATTTAAGGGATGATCGCGACAGTAACAATTATGGATTGCAGTTTTTCCGAATTATGCTTAAAAAACCGGATATTCTCTATTTCCTGCAAAATAATATCGATTTTTTCGGTGCTTCCCCAAAACATCGCCCAATGCCACAGAGGTTTTCCCATCTCTGTTTCATCCCTGCTGCTTGCTAACAAGCAAAAATATTTGTAGTACTTATGGGTTTTTTAATTTGTTATGTATAAATTTCGAATTACATTTATTTAACATTAAAATTTTTGTAGACATCGTTCTAATCATTAATACTATAAATGTAACTATTTGCTATTTGTTTTTAGATATATTCAGAGCAATGCACTTCTACTATCGACACATTCAATGTACAAACATTTAAATATATTTTTATTTATTGTTATTACAATCGCTTTCTAATGCTATCTTTTGTACATTTTGTAATGCAGGTCGTAAAAGTCTCTTGAAGATAGCTATAATGACACT